CTGAAGTCCTTTGAAAGGTAAAAAAAAATAGCATACAGAAAAACTGTGGAAACGCCTGAATTTACAGCACCTGCCATGGAGATGCACAAGCCTCACAAAACTCAGTTACACAAAGTTGGATTTCATTAAAAAGATGCTTCCCAGAAGAGGAAAACCCTAGAGGATTTCCTACATTTCTGTAGGGAAAACCCTACATTTCTGTCTTCTTCTCGCTGTACATTGTCATTGTATTGTACAGCTTGCTTCCTTGCTGCCCTGAGTCTGACCCATACAGCAGAGGAAAACTCCTTTCTCCCATCCAAATAATTTTCTACTACATCTTTAACCATATTTTATACCTATATTTATAAATAGATCTATCTATGGATGCACTTCTTATCTTGGCTTTTCTGTCTCCTTTCCTTCATATCGCAACTCTTGTCAACTTGGATTAAATCTGAACACAGCATTTCTCAAGACATCCCCTCAAGTTCAACCCTTCCTCAGCTTTCCAACACCAGGGGGATTAATCACAGATGATAATCGCAAACCTAAATGACAATGCTTATAACATCACATCATGCCCATTGAAAAGAGGCAGTGGCAGTGGCAGTAACACTTAAGAACAAAAATGGAACAGAAAGCTTAATCAGGTGAAGTAAGATTCCCCTGGGTGTCAAACTCCTCCGAAGCTGTGCCCTGCACTGCTCTCATCTGCCTTCTCCTACTGAGTAGATCATCTCCCATGCACACAGAGCACTGACATATATAGGGAACCATCAGCCTGACAAAATGAAAGGACTCGGCAACTGGTCCCATTTGCAATTTAATGAACATGATGCCAACTTGTTTCCAAAACAATTTTTTCGCAAGCAAGATTGGACAGCCAGACGAGGGGATCCTGCACACCCCAAACAGCTGTGTGTGCAAATCCTGAACGAATGCCCTTGCATTGCACAACACCGACCACCAGCTTGTGCAAACCCGAACCCTAACTTTAAAATGTGCGCAAAGCAGGTGACAACCCAAGGTTCAACCCCCTTGGAAGATTTCTCCCTAGGCCTATCTAACCAGGCCATTGAACATTTCATTTGTGTATTCAGTGTTTTCTAACACTCAAGAGCAAGGTTAGAATCTAAATGAAATAAATTACTGGAGAACTAAACCTAAATTTGCACAGAAAATACAGTCACATTTTGCTACTTCCTAGGCCCATGGCAAGTCACACACAGTCTGAGTCAAATCTCTACCCTGGTGATGTGCAAAAAGAAAAGAAGACAATCCTGTCTGATGGCTATTGGCAGCTTCATAAAGAAAATGCTGAACTTGTGACACAGCCAGGGCTTAGGCATATAAAACTCTTTACTTTAAGTTAAGCACCTGCTTACATGTCTCACTGAATAAATGCCCATGGGCCTCATCCCATAAAGTACTGATCTCCCTTACTTCATGTGGGCTATGGTAGGCACTGAAGGCTGAAGAGCACCTGACAGCATTGGCTCCTATGGGCATAGTTTTTAATCCTTGGAGCAGAAGGTCTCCCTTGATCCTCAGTCAGTTAGGAATATAAGCTGTTACATGGCCGTCAGAAAGCCACGCAGGGCATGTGGCAGAAAGCCACCTTGGTTTCTCCCCAAAAATCTCTGCCCTGTGACACTGTGATTTAAATCTCTGTGCTGTGACCATTCAATTAGGATGGGCCCAGTACACAGGGGACCACACCCTCAGCCTGTCTCTTTAGGGAACTTGAGCTGGCTGCATTCCTGAGGGAGGGGGGAAACCTGCTCCCTCTGCCTACGTGACTGGTACCTGGGTGAGGGGCATCTACCTGGGGAGCTGGAATCTGCCCGGTAACAGGTGATG